CTTCTTCCTTTAAAGATGCAGCGTGTTGTGATAATGTAATAAAAACATCCTTTGTTCAGCTGGGGCCAGGAGCACTCACCCCATCTGGAAATGGCATATCCATGTGAGATACATTAAAATTGCAAAATGCATGGTGACATTAATCTCATCTCTACATTAAATTGGGAAATGTGGCAAAGTCAGTGGTGTGTGCTCTATAAAGAAAGATAACATTTTATATATGAGCTCTGTGTCAAGGGCTTACAAAGCCCATCTTTCAGTTATTTCCATTTTAAATCACTCCACTTTCAGGTGCACCAATATACTTAGTTCTAAGGGTAAAAACGTATTCTTACAATTCAGATGTTTTTCAGGACTTTGGAAACATCTGATGATAGAATAATAAAAAAATAACTGATGAAAGCAGTGATGGGCATGCATAAGCAAGCAAAAATTTCAGCTGTTTCTGTTCTTTTTTTCTATATTCAGGGTGATTTCTGTTTTTTTCTCCAGGATCTGTTTTGAAATCAGTACTTTTGACAGGTCTGGCTTATGTTGTCTTAAAGAGACTCCTCACTGGGATGGACCCAAGGCTGTTATATGATGGTCTCAGCTGGAACAGAAGGTGCCATATATTTTTGTGGCACTTTTCTGATAATTCCATAAATCCCCTACCAATAGATTTTAAAAAACTGAAGTGAAATTTACATAAAAGCATTCATTTTAAAGTAAATGCTTCAGAAGCTGGGTGTGGTAGAGCATTTCTGTAATCCCAGCAGAAGCATTGCAGATTTTTAAAAATCTACATTCTACATTCTCTCTCTGTCTCTCTCTCTCTCTTGTCTCTCTCTTTCTCTCATTATTAGCGTATGCTAACTGAACAAAGGGGTTTCATTGTGATGTTTCCGTACGTGCATAATAGGTATCTCAATCAAATTCACACCATTACTCTTATCCCTCCCCCTTAAACAATTTTCAATAGTTTCATTATTTCAATCTCATATATGCACATGAAGTACTTTGATCATATACCCCTCCTGGGTGTGCAGATTTGAGGGCAGAAACATGGAGGAAACTCTGTCTCAAAAACAAACAAACAAACACATATAAAGTGAGTGATTCACTGGCATTTAATACCTTTAAAGCAGTGTGCAGCCACCGCCTCCCATTTCAAAACATTTCTCTTACTCCAAAATGAAGACCCCTGTTCATTGAACAGTTACTCTTCACTGCCCTGGCAACTCCCTCTCCAGGAGGAGACATATATATATTTTTGGTGGTACTGGGGTTTGAACTCAGGGCCTCACACTTGCAGGGCAGGCACTCTACTACTAAAGCCAGTCCACTAGCCCTTTTTTGTGTTAGGTATTTTCAAGATAGAGTTTGCCCTGGCAGGCTTCAGACCTTGATCCTTCTCAGCTCTGCCTCCTGAGTAGCTAGGACTATAGGCATGAGCCATAGGCACCTGGCAATTTTCTTTCTTTTTTTTTTTTTTACATAGGGTCTTGCTGTGTAGGCCAGGCTGGTCTTGAACTCTGTAGCCCACACTGGCCTCAAACTCTCAATCCTCCTGTCTCAGCCTTCTGAGCACTGAGATTATACACCTGCACCACCAGGCCCAGCTCCAGTGGATTTTCAAATACATTTTAAAAACTGTTTAAGTGTTTGTCTATAGAGCAACCGATAGTGGTACTGGGCCTTCTGCTTGAGTTCATCAGTAAGTTCTGGAAGTTTATCACCATAATTATTTATGACTTGAATGGACTCTGGAGCTAGATTTCATTTTAGCTTCCAGATAATTGTTTAAATCTTGCCCTTCTCTTTAGCCAGTGCAGTTATATGAATTCTAAGCATCCTGGATTTATTACTCTTTGAAGAATTGTCCTTCTGTAATACTCCCTCATTTTTAGCTAAAGAAATTCTTTGCAAAGTTTTAAGAAACCCACTCCACTTTTTTTTTTTCTAAATAGTGAAATAGCACCAACACCTATCTAATTTTAGACTCCTGGTTGGATGGGCCCAGAACCCAGGTAGGATTTCGATTTTGTTTTTGGCTTGTGTTATTGTTGTTTTTACACAGGGTCTTGTTATGTAGGCCAGGCTGGCCGCAAATCATGATCCTCCAGCCTTTGCTGGGATTATAGGTGTGCACAACCATGCCTACTAGCTCAGAGCCCAGTTTTGATCTTCTACCTCCTTATTCCCACACAGGAAGGTAGTAACTGAGTCTGCACACTGTAGGAGATTGCTTATGGGACTTGGTATTGCCAAGAGTTTCTGGACAGAGAAACCTTTAGTGAAACCTAGTGAGAAAGGGGTAGAAAAGAAGATAAAAATAAAGATTTCTACTCCTGTGAGTAGGCACTTTTTAAAGTTTTCTGAGACCGGGTCTTGCTATGTAGCCCAGGCTGGCCTGGGATTTGTGATCCTCCCACCTCAATCTTCTGAGTGATGAGACTGCAGTTGAGAGCCACCATGGCCAGAGGGCACTTTCTTTTATGTGGAGCAGCAACATCAGGAAGAAAGTCATGCATTATAGAGTGAGAGAGAAGATGAAGGTCCAAATCCCAGTTCTGCTACTTTCTGTGTGGCATCAAATAAGGGTCTTAACCTTTTCATTCTAGGTCCTATTTCTTCATTTGAAAACAGTGTACAAATACAATACCACTTCAAAGGTTAAACTTAGATGATCTCTGTTTACTATGAGACATAGTAAGTAGGCACTGAATGAATTATAGCTATCGCTAACAGGGAGCAGTCTCAGCATGCAGGGGATCTCATTCTCTAAAGGCTGGAAATCATCTCGGGGACCGTCAGGCCCCATCTTCACATCGTGTATATCACTTAAACTCTCCCAGACCCTACAGTCGCTTGGCTCTAGTAGAGGTGGGCTCCCCAAGGAAACATCTTGATTCCCAGCACCTGTGCTGAACACAAGACCTAGTTCCTTGACTACTCCTAGCAGCATCCTACTCTTGCCATCTGCCCATGACCGACTCGTCCTGCTTCCCAACACTGGTACCAGAACAAAAATTTTCCTTCCTCTCCTACAAAACTCCAGTCTGTAAGCAGCAGTAGACTCTAGCAGCTCCTGGAGACCCCCTCCGCTGGTTTCTTCTCCTGAATAAACCTGTGCTGACAGTGAGCCTTGTCTTCATCTATCTCTCTGTGCTTTTCAGTCTAACAGGGACCACTGATCTACTTTTTAGGTGGGCTTTCTTACCATCTCTTCGATTCATATTGTCCTGTTGGAGCAGTTGGTGCTACTGGCTTCCCTGCCCTTCCCTGCCTTATGATTTTGAACAGTTTCCATATTACCTATTATTCTGCTTTAACAGTCTATCAAATTGGCAAGATGCTCTTAGTATCTTTCTTTTCTTTTTCTTTTTTTGTGCTACTAGAGTTTGAACTCAGGGCCTGCGCCTTGAGCCACTCCACCAGCCATGTTTTGAGATGGGTTTTTTTGAGATAGAGTGTCGAAAACTATTTGCCCAGGCTGGCTGTGAACCTCGATTTCCCTGCTTTCTGCTTCCTGAGTAGCTAGGATAACAGGCGTGAGCCACCAGCACCTAGCAATATCTCTTTTATAAATGAGCTCAAGGCAATCAGTAGCAAGTCACTGAAAACAGAAGACTCAAATTAGTTAGAGCCAGACAACCTCTCTGAGACAGGCACTTTCCTCAGTGAAATAGCAAAGACCACAGAACACGAATTATATTGGTGGAATTCACGTGACTTAATTTATTTTATAATTTCTTACAATAAGCATGAGGAATAAAGACAGAGAAAGGAAGAAAAGTATCTTTCAAGTTCCTTGAATTACCGAAGCAAGTGCTAGAATGAGAAATTTCAGTAAAAGCATCATGTCTTATAGCACAGAGCTTATGATGGAAACTTGGACGGGGCAGGGCAACTCTTCAGCTCTGAAGGAAGTGAGCACTGATAGGGAATGAGCCTGCATCAAACTTGGCACGTGTGGCAGACAGGGCAATTTGGTGCCACCCAGCTGGGTGGATGAAGAACTGACTCTCCTGACCGCTTCCTCACAAGCGTGGGGGAATGTGTACACACCTTCTGGGTCTCAGTTCTCTGCCTCTCCAGCAAGGAAGGGACACATGCCAACTGTGCAGCAATGGCAAAATTGTTGGGAAGGATTCAGAAAAGATAAAGACCTTTTTTATATTTGCTGGTGGTGTTGATTGACCAGAAGTGGGTTGTTTTTTTTTTTCTCCCCACTTTTGGGCAGTAGCATTGTGTCCTGGTGATGAAATAGCCTACACTTAGCACTCATAAAAGGCATAGGAGAGTGAAAGCAAGACATTTTGAGGGCCTAGACCAGAGGGAAGGGGGTTATGTGGATCTAAGGACAAGACATGAAAAGCTAATTCTATACCACCACACGGGAACTGACACAGAGGAGACCGTGACCCTTTCCATTCATAGAAGAATTCACCTCTTCTAACTTACACTACTAAATCTAAGGTCAGCTCAGTCACAGCTTGGGATAACTAATACTGTGCTTCTAACATTAAAGTGAAAAGCTATGTTCTTTAAAGTAGTTTTCCCCCAATTAAATAGACTTGAATAAGCTGAAAGCCTAAAACCCAGGGATTCTTTTCATTATTTTGTTTTTTGGGGGAAACCCTTAAAATTCATCACTGCCACTTTTTTTTAAGTCTATAAATTTAAAAGGACAGGAAACAGGCAGGGATAAGTCACCACACATCACAGAAATGGTTTGCATGCATCTAATTTTATCCATTAAGCAAAGGGAGTTAAAGGGGGTGAGTTCTAGAAAGAGCCTAAATGTATTTAAAAGGGAAGAATACATGATCCTTTTTTTTCCTCCTCCTGGATGGAAGAAAAGGATATATGGAATTGAGAGGAGTGGGGAAGAAAGCGTCCATTAAACAAACACCTATCATGTGTGACTCAGTACTAGCAGAGTTGAATTGGGTGTGGACCGTTGGTTTACTTTTGGCAGTGATCTTGTGATTTGAGTATCTAGAGTAAGACTATATAGCTGGGTACTGGCTGGGCATAGTGAATAAATGTAGGTGTTAATTGCAGCTCACAGCAAATGCTGAGGCTCACAGACTTAGCACCTTCGCTCATACTTCCTCCACACTAGAATCATCTATCACGGTGAAGCCTGTGCTGGGTGAGAAAGTTGTATTCTTAGACAACTCTTCCATGATTGCTCCAGGACTGCAGTTTGCTCCCATCTAAGGGGTGGTTTTCCTATCAGAGAAAGTTAAGTGTTCACTACAGAGTAGGAGAGTGAAGCCTTGAGGACGTTACATAGTGGTGATAGGTGTTGCAGTTCAGGAATAGGCTGTTTAACAAGTCAAATGCATATTATTCCCTCTTAAGCATTAGCTTTTTTTTTTTTTCTAAGCAACAGAATTACATTTTTTGGCTTGAAATGGAGGTTTCTTCTATATTTGACTTCTCGGTTTTCTTAGTAGATATTACCGTCTCCTCCAGTATTTCTTCAAAACTTTCCCCTATCTGAGAGGTTTTCTTAGAGGCTACCTTAGAAGCCTCCTCCTCCTCCTCCTCTTCCTCCTTCTTAAGTAACAGCCCAGTGGATGAGACTTTGGAGGTCGCAGAGCTGAGGATTCTAGGAGGGAGGAGGTAACTTGGATTGGGAAGTGGATTCAGCCCTGAAATGCTTAATCCACTGGTGCTAAATCGTGTCTCTTCACCTTCCAGCAGCTTCCTGCAAATCCAACAGAGAGAAACTCAGGAAGTCCACTTATTCATTGTTTTTAAAAGGACTTAGCTCTCCCATCTCTATTCATTTTAGCAAGACTCCAAAAAACATTGCAATTTCTTTATGAGATTGGACTAAGAATATTGCATTTCAAGGCTCAAAGAGCAGGAGATTAACATGCATATGCACACACATACACACTCACGGCCCTTCAGCGTCAGCTGCGTTTCAAGTATTCTCCAAGGGGAGCCTATCCTCTTCACAAATATGTTCCTGAAGAAAACCTGCAGCCTCCCCCGACCCACCCCTTGGCCACATCATATCCATTTTGCCAATTAAGAGTCTACAAACCTCTAGGGAAAAGTAATTTTCCTAATTAACACCTTAACTGCTATGGGGATAAGGAGGTGAGAAATCCACAAAAGAGGGAGAACTGCCTCAACTTGAGAGTTGCACTTTTTTTTTTTTTTTTTGGCATTCTACCACTTGGGCCATGCGTTCCTTCTGAGATTTGTACTCTTTCAGTGCAGAAAGAGGAGAGAAGCAGCAATAACAAAGGATGGTGAATGGCACTGTTTCAGATGTCAGACTTTTCTCAGCCTGGCCTAAACAGCACTACAGAAGAGTGGTATCAGTGTCTTGTTTCTCGTAACTCTAATAGGTTTTAATCATCCCTGTTGTAAAAATCAGAAACTCACGATACTATGAAAAACTCTTGGAGTTTTCTTTGAAAGTAGTAGATACAGTGTAAAGAAAATGCCCAGAGAGATCTGAAACAGGCTGAATCTGAGTTCTGTCATTTATTAGCACTGTGACTTTGAGCAATCTGTGGTTGACCTGATACCTAGGAAAATTTTATGAAGTATCTAACAAAATACTTAACACATAGTAGTTATTTTAAAAATAGCACCTGCAATTACTTTTTTTTTTTTAAGGAAAAAAACCAAAATAATTGATCACTAGAACCCTGCCTAGAATAGGAAGCCAGAAGGAAACCTCAACTTTCAGGACTTTCTAAGTGTAAGACACTTTTCCTGTGGATTTTTGTTTCATCCTCTGGCTACTTCTGTTATCTCCATAAGCCCTCAGTAGAGGAATGAAGAATACTCCAGGACTCGTAGGTGAGGCTGGGGTGTATCCAATAGAGGGGCAGAGGGGTTAGCCCCTTTTCATCCTCCCTCACTGATCAGAAATCAGAGAGACTACAGCCACTTCTGTGGGCAGCCCTGCCCCGAGGTGAGCATGCACTTTGCTTGGGTGAGCTGGCTCTCTGAAGTACCTGTAAGCTGCTATCTCAATGTCAAGGGCCATTTTGACATTGAGCAAGTCCTGGTATTCTCGAAGGTGGCGTGCCATCTCACTCTTGGTGTTCCTCAGATCATTCTCCAGCTGCCCAATGTTATCCTGAAAAGTGACACATCCAAAATATTTAGACCAAAGTAGCTGAAATTCATTGAGATTTCCACAGAGCAACCCTGACTCTACATTCAAACCACCTAATGAATTTGTGAAATATTTACATCTAGATCTGTCTCCCTATTCAGATTCTGATTCATTTGTTCTGGGGTGGGGTCCTAGCATTTTAATTCTTTTCCATAAAGGCCCCCAGGAGATTTGGATGCATGATAAGGATTGGGAACTTCTACCACTAGGCACATAGTTTCAAGGGACACTGAGAGAGGATTTTCTTTTCTTTTTGGAGATAAGAGCTTGCTGTGTAGCCCAGGCTGACCTTGAACTAGAGATTCTCCTGCCCCAGCCTCTCAGTCTTGGGATTACAAACATGTACCAACATACGCAGCAGGGAGATGTTTTTACTGAATAAATTCCATTGCTCATGTCCTCCCTAAACTCTAAGTGTCAGGAGCTTAGATTTAGAACGTTCCAACTGTGGAAAGTACAGAAGACAGGAAGTCTTCTCTGCTGCCATCGCACACCTTCCTGCATTTCCATGGTTCCCTGGAAGTCAGCTATTCAATCACCACTGAAAGTGTTTTATGTGACAGCAAGGAAGCAGCAGAAATACTCCACAGGAGTGGGGCTGGTTTTTGTTTTGTTTTGTTTTTTAAATTCAAATGAAACACTGAAACCCCAGTACCACCAAAAGAAAAATCAAAATAAAACAACAAAAATGAAACACTGGAATTGCAATTGTTTTCTGGTTTTTGTTTTTGTTTTTTTAAAAAGAAAGTAGGTTCATGTAATCGTTGTTTTTCTCCAAACTCTTCTAGGTGAAAAACAAGAGATAGAAGAGAATAACTTTAAATTTGTGATCCCTGAGCAGCCAAAAGGATCTTTTAGAAACAAATCAGATTCTGTCGTTTATCTTTAAACTCTCTGACAGCTTTGGAATAAAACCTAAACTTCTAAGGATGACCTGTATTCTTCCCTTTGTTCAATGAGTTTCAGCCACCCTGGGCTTTCCTTTTTGTTCTTTTAAGGTACCAAGTTCATTGCTGTTCCAGGCCCTTTCGGCCTGGGATTTCTTCTGTTTGGAATGCTCTGTGGTGGGTTTGTACACAGCCTATTCCTTGTGATATAAGACTCAGCTCAAATGTTCTCTCCTCAAACAACAAGTCTCCTCTTGCATTCAATTTAAATACTCTCCCTCCAATAATTATTTTACCTCCAGCCAGGGCAGGTGTTAGCCCATGCAGAAACTATAGACAAATTAGGAAAAGGTATCCCAAAGAGAGGACAAAGTAGAAAAACTTGGAAATTAGAATAAACTTGCAAGGAGCCACCCTGCTCTTAGCTCTTACTATGTGAAATTATTTTGTTTAGTTGTTTACTAGTTTATTTTCTGTCACTTTAGAATAGAGTTTTTCAGTTTTGGCACCATTGACATTTTGGACTGGACAATTCTTCCTTTTGGGGGTTACCCTATGTATTGTAGGAAGTTTAGCAGCTTCCCTGGCCTCTATCCACTAGATACCAGAAGCACACAGCCTTCCTCCCAGTTGTGATAAAGAAAAATGTAACTAAGTTGGGTGTAGTGGTTTATGCCTGTAGTAGTACTCTGGAGGCTAGGGCAGAAGGATCTCAAGGTTTTGTTTTGTTTTGTTTTTTTGGTGGGACTGGGGTTTCAACTAAGGGTTTTCTCACTTGCAAAGCAGGCATGCTACCACTTGAGCCACACCTCAAGTCCATTTTGCTCTGGTTGTTTTGGAGATTGGTGGGTCTTCTGAACTATTTGCTTGGGCTGGCCTCCAACCAAAATCCTCCCAGTCTCAGCCTCCAAGTAGCTGAGCCACTGATGCTCAGCCTAGGATCACCAGTTTTAAAAGTCACAGAAACCTTTTTCTAGTTCACTCCTAGAACCCCAGGTCTTCACATAACACATACTGTAGACACACAATAAGTAATAGTTGAATGAATGAATGATGGTACATAGTACTTCCTTACTTATGATCTGAAGTGGTGTGAACAAATAGCCCATGTAACTCAGCTGCAACTTTGCAGACATGAAGAGCATATCGATTGGGATTTATGACATATGGGTGCAGATGAACAAATCAGAAACTTCAAGAAAGCAAGAACTGAAGGGCCTTTGTAATTCTCCTGGAGTAGGGATAATAAAGCAGTGTGAAAAGCAGGGCAGATACTTCCAAATCAAGAGAATTTACAGAAAGAACGAAATTCATGCCACCCACCTGTTCTATAAATATTGACAGGAATATTGCAAAGGAGAGTCTCAATTGACTCATGAGTGCAGAGCAAAGAATGAAAGAATGACAGGCAGTGGGGCAAATACAGGTGCCACTGGACAATGATGCAAATATTTCAGTGTTGTTAAGAGATCACAAGGTTGTAGAAGGATTTTTTTTTTCTTTTTTGAGAGAGGCTGGCTGTGACCTTGAGCTTTTCCTGCTTCATCCTCTCCAGTGCTGGGATTACAGGGATGTTCCATCACAACAAGTCTCTTAAAAGAATTTTTATCAAGAAATTTCCCTTGATACTTGCTACTTGAGGCAAAACTAACCTATAAGCATGTCTGCTAGTGATACATTTGGGGTAAGAGAGTCCATATTACTGTAGTAATGGGGAAAGGGTCTAGAGTAAGGGAAAAAGGAGAAAGAGGGGAAGATATAAACATTATGCAAAGGAGCAGGAGAAATGTTTTATGAAGGGAAGAGAAAATTGGGCTGTATTTTTTGCCTTGCCACTAATATTCAATGTTAGCTATCTACATTTGAGTTTTTTCAAATCTTTTATTTCTGCATACGTAGAATCATAAAGTTAATTTCTTCTAAGGTGGTCTGGGATTCTCAAATTAGGATTTCAGCTTAAGATACCTCACATTAATACACAATGAGGTTTATTACCTGTTAAAGCAGATAAGTCATTAGAGTAGCATGACATAGGAAGTACTCAATAAACGTTAGTGACTTTTTTTATTAATAACATACCATTTGACTCTCTATCCTTTTGATAGTCATGAGCCCTTCCTATAATTTCTTAAGTAAATAAGAAATGAATACAATATTATTTATTATATATATATATCATATGCATATGTGTATATTATGCATAATAAAATTTTAATATTGGATAGTTGGTTGAATATCCATTAAAGCATTAGATTTCTTTTTTTTTTTTTTTTTGGTGGAGGTGGTTTTGGGGTTTGAACTCAGGGCCTCAGACTTGTCAGGCAGGTTCTCTGCCACTTGAGCCACACCCCAAGTCCCATATTTTTTTTTTTTTAAATAACAATTTTCAATAAAAACCTTTCTAAAGTAAGTGGCTTATTCTGCTCACAATCAGAACATTAAAAGTAATGCAAAATGATTATTTTTCTATAATTCTGTAATTTTTTTTCACTTTTAAATATATCAGGCTGTTTATTTCTACCCTAAATGGCCCCACAAAAGCAGTGTTCAAATTTATGTTGCTACTCATTGGTTTTCTTTGTCCTAAAAGATGACCTGATAGACAGCTACTCATTCTTGACAGTACCTGACTCCAGTGGTCACTGCTCCATCCTGTGCAGGTTTGAAACCCAAATAAAGAAGGGTCTTAGAATCATGTACAGTAAGAATGATTAGGCTGGGGCACTGGAGGGCCAACTTCTTAACATTTGAGTTAAAGGTAGATGTTTTGTCTCATCAGCAGGTTAATTAAGTTTTTTTTTTTTTTTAGAGAAAAAATTACATTGGTTTCACAGTTGTATTTTCTGACTACCAAGAGGTTGCTGGGGAGCTGAGGTCTAGATAGATGAGATTTTCTTGTACATTTTTGTTATACATTTCACAGGCTTATTTTATGAATCAGAGTAGACAAAATGCACAACTGGTGCCTTCCAGAAGGAGCTAACTGTGGGTCACTGATGCCTCCTCAACGCCTGGTCTCTTTGTTTGCACTCTCCTCCCATCAGGCTATATACAGTTTTGCATTGCCCTTCAAAAGCCCTGCCAAAGATGGCCTCCAGCTCGAAATGTGAGCAAAGCGCTGCAGTCGGCCCCCTCCCCCAACCATGCAGCTGCTGCTGGCTTAGCCTGAGGGAACGGAAAGACAGGCACTCCCTGCTCCAGCTGGGGTCTCTCCTGGAGTGGCTGAGCATCTGGCCCACAGTTGGAAGGATGCTTTTTGGGAAGAAGAGAAGGAATGGGCCACACTAGTATCTAGTAGAGATGAGGAAAAAGAGACAGTGCTATGGATGTCATCACTTTTGGGGGCCCTCAGCCAGGCAAGCAGTACTGAGTGCAGCACAGTCTGACTGAAAGGGCCATTCACAGTTACTGCTCTGCATAATCATTCGGGTGGGGAGAGGATTTTCATATGTGGTCCACTCATAAGGCACTGTTTTGCCCTGTTCTCACTCCTATCTTTGCTTCATCCACATATTTTCTTTTTCTCCTACCACACTCTAAAGTCTTGTATTATACATATATCTACAAGCCACTTTACTGGAAAATGGGCTTTATGTCAGTGCACTCCAAAATGAGTCTGAGGATTCATTGAAAATATATATTCCTGGCTCCACCTGTGAACTGCTGAATACCTATCTTTAGGAATGGACCTGACAATCTTTCTTTTTAATTCCCACTTTACATTGGCATGTCACTGAATTTAGGAACAACTAGTTTAAATTTATTTTGTAAAGGAACTATCAAGGTGGCCCAGGTGACAGTCACAGAGTGAGATAGGGAAAACAAAGCCCAGATGGACCAGCTTTAAAAAAAAAAAAAAAAAGAAGACCAAATCTAGCTTTTTTCCCCTTGAATCCTAAATTTCAGAAATAGATCAAGCTATGGATTTATATGCAGTCACTGCCTCCTCCAAACCCCAGGGGCAGACCCTTCCTGCTATTTAATTAGGCTGTACTCCAATCTCATACTAGAGGGAAGGGGACAGAGTTGGCTCACCTCCCTGGAGAACATTAACCCGAATTGATTTTGATTGTTTGGCAAGGTCTTTCAGGGAAAGGTTTGGCTTTCTCAGTCTGACCACAGTGCAAGTCTGGGACCCCAGTACCCTCCAAGGATGTCTTTGTACAGCTTTAGCACAACTGGGACTCTAATGGTGGTGAAGAAGCTATGTAGAGGAACAGGAATTGTCCTCTGTCAGAAATGGAAAAGCCTTTACCTTTCCAATCACAGCTGGAGCTATTTGAAGACAATAGCCCTATCTTTTCCTAATCTCTCCTCTTGCCTGATTCAAACTCTCATGTATTGCTGTATACTTACTAAGTCACCTTGAATCATTGTTTCTCCTCTCGAAAGTGTAATAAGCTCTCTCTCCTCAAATAGGCTATCAAGCTCTCTGGGGCCGGGAAAAACATGACTTAAATGGGGCCTTCCTGTCTCTGAGAGAGTTGCCAAGCTGGCAAAGGAAAATGGGTCTACTAATCACTGAAGTAGAAGGAAGAGAGCAGCTTCCCATCACTGCAGTGGAAGAGGGGAATGAGGTGAGAGGGCAAGAAAACAATTGCTGAATCTCACAGTGGAGACAGAGGCTTTTCACCTTGGTTAGCACTGAGATGGTTAGAGAACAGCAGAGGCTTCAGGCCTGAAGGATATTCAAGTTGCTGTAAGCCCCACCCAGCCTCAGGTCCCAGGGGGTAGGAAATACTCTCCATTGTCTGATGGCCTCTTCTACAGCAGGTCCACTGAGGCTCTGAAGGCTAAAGTTGATGTGGGCAGCACTGCAGAGCTGCAGATGCTGCAATTTCTGTCTTTTATTGTTTCCTGCAAACCAAGTCTGGGTACACAGAAAAGCCTTTTACAGCAAACAAGCCAACAACCTTGACAAATGCCTCTTAGAATATAGGGGCTAAAATAAGAAAAAGAGGGCAGGCAAAGCCCAATTCTGCTGAAAGTTCTGGGTAAGTCATACTTTTTGTAGAAATAGTGGGCCCTTCCTACAGAAGACCACCTAGCTCAGCCATTGAGGCTTCTGGAAGAAAACATGAAGTCTTAATTAATCAAGTGTGATTAATTCATATCATCCAGGGGCTAGGCCACATAGAGAAATGTTCAAGTGATAGGTTTGAAACAGAATAGGAGTATTTATTTGAACAATAATATAATAACAAACTAACCAAATCTAACCGTTCAAGCAAGGCTTTTTCCCTTTGTCAAAGGAAGTCATTTATAATCCACAGCAAATAACTGCATATCAGTAATTCCTTAGTTCCTGACTATAATAGTATTTGAAATTTCCTGCCTTTTCTTGGTTCTATTTTTATTAATGTTCCCAAACCTTACTCATTTCATCAAATGTAAACTTCTATCCTAGTTGAAATAGATCATTTCAAACTTCTGAATTATTGGCATTCTATTCAAAAGAGCTTTTATCATACCTTGAAACTGAACCATACTATTTTGGTTCTTCTCTACAATTTTCATTCATCCTGTCTCCTGTCTCTGTGCCCTTTGTAGTCATCAGCCCAGAATGTCCAATGTAGTGAAAGTGAAGACGCAGTGGCTTTTGTTGGGAGGAAAGAGTCAATCAATACCTTCACAGAGCTTACATGACTGGGAAAGATGGAAAAAAAATGTCGCCTGTAACAAAGAAATCATTTCTGTGATTCATGTGCACTCAATATGGAAAAATGTTAAAGTAATGGGAATTTTCAAGTGGGACCTCAGAGCTACTGAGCAGATTGGTTTTAAAAAAAAAAAATGCTAAGCCATCCATGAAAACGCAAACTGAATGCTGTCCACGAGGTGACCTTTGATTGCAAGCAGCCAAGACTGATGTGTTGATTATCAAATGAAGAAAAAAAATCAAAGCAGTTAATTGCCTAGAGATTCCAAACTGGGACAGGAGACAGAAGAGATTATTTCTGAGACGAGGAAATGAGATCAGCACCGTGGACAGCGCCCCTGTCATTCTCATGTACTAAGTAGTGTACTGCTTTCTTTAGGAAGAAACACGCTGACAAGGAAACCGTGTGTGTGTGTTACTAGCTCATTACCACCCAGCTCCTTCCTCATTCATTCCCATTCTCTACTCCTCTGAGGACAAAAGTCAGGAACATGGGATAGGCCCTTCCCAGTCAGTTCCCAATCCTGAGGCAGACCATACATAGCAATTCCGAAGCGCACAGAAAGCTCTTCAAAGTCAATTAAAAAAACCAAATAGCCTTGACAACTGTCCCGACCTGTCTACTTTGGGTCGGGGACTGTTATTCAAGTCGCCAGTGCATGTTTGTCCGCTTGCATATAAAGAGGCATAGTTAAGATTTTTAGGACTCCAAAAAAGTTTAAAGGCTTCTTTCTTGGAAGAGTTTGGACAGGAACATAACTGAGGGGCTGGAATAGTGGGCTTCTGGGACCTAGTGGAGACTGCAGGTCTTTTTGTTTGCCAATTCCTCTAAACGAGACTCTTCTCTCCTACTTTTATCTTATCCTCCCCTCCTTTCCTAGGGCCCCCATTTTCAGGGAGTGCAGTTAAGAGGACAGGGCGCCCCACCTATGCAGCACTCTAGCCTTTCCTTACCTGATAGCCGGCCACCTCAGTACTGTGCCGCTCCTCCAGCTCCAGGATCTGCCTCTCCAAGGACTCATTGGCCCCGCGCAGACCTTCAATCTCTATGGTACGTGCCTGTAGCTGGCGCCGGTACTCATGGATTTCCTCGCGGCTGGCTCGGATAGCCTCGGTGCTGCGCGCAGCCTGTTCGTTCAGGTTGGCGAACTTGGACTTGTACCATTCCTCTGCTGACTGCAGGTTCTTAGCCGCCAGGGACTCATACTGGGCGCGAATCTCCCTGAGCGCCGAACTCAGGTCTGGTTTGGCTACGGCCACGTCTACCTCGGCCGCGGCCTGCGACGATGCCTGCAGCGTGGCCAGGAGCTCGGCTACCTCTTCATCGTGCACCTGGCGCACGAAGGCCAGCTCGTCCAGCAGCGACTCCACCTTCTTCTCCAGATCCAGGCGGGCCAGCGTGGCGCCGTCCACGTCGCGCTGTTGCGCCTTTAGGGCGCGCTCGGCGCCTTCGCGCCCGCGGCTCTCCTCCTCGCAGCGTGCCCGCAGCCGCTGCACCTCCTCGGCCAGTCCATCGCGCTCCAGCAGGGCCTGTGCGCGCGCCGAGCTCGCTTCTTCCAGCTGCGCGCGCAGGTCGCGCAGCTCGCGCTGGAACAGCTCGCCAACGCGCGACGGCTCGGCGTGGCGCTGCCGCAGCGCCGCCAGCTCGGCCTCGAGCGCGCGGTTCTGCGTCTCCAGCTGGTGCACCTTCTCTATGAACACAGCGAAGCGGTCATTGAGGCCCTGCAGCTGCTCCTTCTCGTTGGTGCGGATGATCTTGTATTCATTGGTGCGCGCCGCCGCCTGGCTCAGGTCTAGCCCTTCAGACGCCGGTAGCCGGCGGTAAGCCAGGCCCAGGCCGAGCGACGAGGCCGAGGAGCAGGCGGCCGAGGAGGTTACATTGCAGCGGGACAGCGACTGTGAGCGGAAGCTGCCCGCGCCTCCGGCCCCGGAGAGGCGCGCGGACAGGCGAGAGCCGTCCCCGAACACCTTGCGGTAGGAGGAGGCGGAGCACAGGTAGTGCTCCGAACCGAAGCTCATGGTACCGGGATCCGGGCCGGGCGTGCGGCTGCGGCCAGACCTACGGAGGACTCAAGAGGTGCGGCAGGCTGGGCGCGGCGGGGCGGTGCGCACCGGGTTTTAAGGCGCGGGGCTGGGGCGGCGCGTTGGGGGTGGAGCTTCTGCTGTGGATCTGGCCGAGAGAGGGAAGCGGGGCATCTAGGAGCGGGGGCGGGGAAGCGCAGTGACTACCGCAGCTGCGCGTGCGACCGACCTGGGGCGTAGGGACAGGGCCATCTGCGTAGGAGCCGCTCCCTGGGCGCAGCATTTCTTCCTAAGAATCCACAGCTATGGAAGTGACTGAAGGGGAGGGGTGCCTAAACCACCCCGGTTTCCTAGCCTGAAACCACACAGCTCTGTAAGTCCTTAGATTCTGTCCTCCCTCCCCGCGCTCCTTTAGCCTACTGGGAGAATAGATTTTCTGAGAGGTGTCCGCTGTGCCCTTCCCACCCAAGGATGAAGTCCCGGTTTTCCAGTACAAGTGGGAGTCCCCAGGGCAGGCCTTGTTCCCTCCCTCAGACATCTCGGGGTTCCCAGGGGGCGGGAGGGATGGGTCTACATCCTAGAGCATCCCTCCAGCTCTGTAGCTCCGGTGATAGGAGGAGGAGCAGAAAGCGTGCGATGTCCCAGGGAGGGAGGGGAGACCGGTGAAGAACGTAAGCCCGAGTCCTTCCGGAGAAGAGGCAGTAGAGAGAAGGGGCCAGACTTTGAAAAGGAGAAAGCGCTAGGAATTAGTAGGGTTCATCAGGGAGCTTCTATCGCCAAGCACAGACTAGGACCGCAGGTTGGTGAAAAGGGGGCTGCGGGCTTTTGTTTTTAAAACATATGTTTTAAAACATTTCAGAGTGGGCATTTTTAAACCAGGAGGATTCTTCTTTAAAAAAAAAATAGGATGGATCTTCAGTTTTTAATGTCGCATCCCTGTTCCTCTTTTGAAAATGGCAGGAGCTGAGATGGCCACAGTGGGTGAAAATGAGGTGCCCTTTGCCATGTGCGTGTTCTGTTTATCACAGTCCCCAGCATTCTCCACTGAGAATGCATCTTCTTAATTCATTATGCGTCTGGCCCTCTAGATAATTGAGATTCCAGTCTGTGTAAGTTAGACAGGTCCTCACAGGCTCTGGAGAACCTTTTTCTATAGGAATCTCTTTGGGCAAAAGAAATCCCTGCAAACAATTAAACTGTGGGAGTGGGGAAGAACATCGGTGACTGAGCTGAGCTTTGCCACACAGTGGGGGGGAATTAAAGAGTGGGACCTGGAAAGATGAAGGTAGGTCGCCTGTGCTCACCCTCAAGCTTATGTTACTCCGGATGTGGCAGTACTTTGGAGAAGCAGTAGGAAGGCCCTTTCAGTTACATTCCACAATTCCAAACTTCCAGCCTTGAAGATCTTGTAGTTCTAAGGTGAGTTATTTCACTTCATGGGATGGGGGCAGGGAGCATTACCTGGACAGGCCTCCAAAAGAAGGAAAAAAAAAAAGAATTTTAGTAGACTTTGGAGCATGTATCTTGACTTAGTGCTTGATGTTATAGAAGGTAGTCAGGCCTGTGCCTGTGTGCCCTCATCACTCACCAAAGATTTGAGCTAGAGAGACTCAATTTTGAGGTCTCTGGGCTCAGGAACACCTGGGGAGGTGAGGATGGAAGAGTTGCCTGCCATGCACCAGCAGTCATGCCTAGTTTTCTCTCCTTCTGGCCTTCTCTCTTTCTGTTCAAGGAAGTCCTTAACCCAGTCTTACAGATGAGACACTCATCTGTAAGTGCCACCAACAAGCAAAGATACACATACATTCTTTTCCTCACTTCTTGGTGCAATGAGACTCTTGGAGGCTTGGCTAATTTCCATGCAACCAGAATAGGACTAAGTAGACTTCAGAGAATTTTGGCCAATGCCAAATTAGCAAGCTAGTTTGTAACTGAAAGAAATTTGGACTCAGCGTCAGAGGTGATGGGTTTGAATTGTGGCTTCTGTCACTTACTAAGTATATAGGGGATAACAACAACAACCTACCCAGGGTCATAAAAGATTGAGTTGATGAATGATAAGGTGCCTTGTAATCTGTAGCTGGCTAAGGAGTTGTTGTCATTAACGTTTTAGTTCAAGTTAAAGGGTACTGCCTCACATCCCCCAGAAACAAGATAGGAGCTGGTTTTGGTGAGAGGATTGCAGGAAACCATCCACAACACCATACATAGGCCCCCCGCCTGCCCCTTGGGGGAGAGAATGTAGCCAACCTTGATTGTGGTACCAGCGGTCTGCCCGAGTGCTGCAGTGTGGAAACAACACAAATAACTAGAAGATCTTTCTTTCTGTAACTATAGTTACAGTCTCATCTCAACTGTGTTGCCCACGACTACTGAAAATCATCAAAATGGCCTGGTTTGAATTCCACCTTTCTTTCCAAGCAATGCCCCAAAGACAAAAATGTACATAGAGCAGAGAGCAAAGCAAAAAGCCAAAACAATACAATAAAATGGCTGTGGTCTGGGAAATGTAGAGTGGGCTGCATTTTGCATGCAAGGTCAGAATCTTACCTGACCTTTCCCCCTGGTCCTTATGCCTCCCCTTTCTTGGCATTTCACCCATGAGTGTTTAGCTTTAATAATTTTAGCACAATTTTACAAAGGAGTTGTCTTGGCTGAGCCTCAATCCATAACTCCTTCCAGCTGGCCAGGTTTCCTGAAGGAGTGCCCTGGTCATGCCAGGACGGTGTCTTCCTTTTCCTCTAGGGTTGCACTCTAGCCCGCAGACTTGTTGCTCTGTGATCCCAGTTCTCTCTCATGCCACATCCTCCATAGTCTCCTTGTGGGATTTGGCAGTGCCAACAGATTTGGTTCCTGGCCTTCTGCGTTCCTTTAGGAACTCTCTTTTGTAGCTATTAGCTCTCCCAGAGGCAGGAGGAGTTGTAGTTTTGTATCATGGTTATTTCTGGCCATGTGACCTTGAACACATTACTGTTATTTGCTGAACTTCACCTTAGTCATCTATAAAACTGCAATATAACTGTCCACTTGAGTGGTCTCCAAACCTGAGAAATTAAATTCAGATTCTCAGGCTTTAACCCAACACCCATTCTGAAATCTCTCAGATGACTGTGAGCTTTAAATGACATTATGTATCCAAAGTGGGTATGATAGACTGGCGGAGTGGCTCAAATGGCTTAGCAAGCATGAGGCTATGAGTTCAAACCCCAATACTGCAAAAGGGAAAAACAAAAGCAAAGTGGGTATCACAAGGCCTGCTGTGTGAATAGTGGCTATCAGAAGCACCAACTTTTAAAAATTTGTTTATTCAGCAAATAGTTACCAAATGTTTACTATGTGCCAGATTTGGGAGTAGGTGCTAGGCATGAAGCAGATATGGGCTCTTGCCTCTGTGGGGCTGGCATTCTGGCAAAAGAGATGAGATTAAGCAACTAACTACATGGCTAATTGTAACTAGTGCTCTGCAGGGGAATGCATATTTTGGGAGTAGAAACCAAAGGCCTGAACTGTGCTGATGAGTCTCAAATCTCTATTTCCCATTTCTAGATCCAAACTCACCTATCTTAATAGCCTTTTGGTATCTATCTCCTCATGAATGTTTGGTTACTGTATACCTAAAGGTGAATTTAAGTGGGATGCATTGGTGCACACTGCAAGTACCAGCTATTCAGGAGGCTGAGGCAAAAAGATTTCAGGGCCAGCCAGGACAACATGGTGAGACCCTGTGTCTTAAACAAACAAGTAACAGTTGGGCACTGGTGCCATATACCTATGATCCTACATACTTGGGAAGCTGACATTGGGAGGACTGGGGTTCGAGGCCAGCTCAAGCAACTAGTTTGCAAGACCCCATCTCCAAAATAATTGGAGCAAAATGGACTGGACATGTGGCTCAAGTGGTAGAGCACCTGAGTTTGGATCTCAGAGGGGACACCCAAACCAACAAAAAATAAATAAATAATGATAAAATAAATAAAAATAATCTCCCTCTAGGACACACTTCCAACTTCTTTGATCTTGACTTTATATCTCACTTCTGTTTCTCTTCTTGTACAATTCTCTCTTCCTAGAATTTCCTCTCCTGCCCCTGTTTTAACTATTGAAATGCTACCTCCTCCATAAAGCCTTGCTTGCTATCTGCAATGTAAAGTGATCTGTCCCACCCATGACCTCTTCTTTTTCTCCCCACAGCCTTTGTGGTACTCACATGGCTCATAGTCACACATCATCTGCTGTAATTATTTGCATGCTTGTCTAAGCTGGCTTGGGAGCTCCTTGAGCACAACTTGTCTTCTACATCTAATCCCTCTCTGAGCACCAACCACAGTATTAAACACTTGTGAGGTGAAAACAAAACAGTTGAAGTAGTCTCTTGTACGACCACTTGAAAAAGTCTTTGACCTGACATCAAGAATGAGATCTAGACTGGAGGTATGACTCAAGTGCAGAGCACCTGCTTTGCAAGTGTAAAGCCCTGAGTTCAAACCCCAGTCACACCAAAGGGGAACAAAAAAGAGTGAGATCTATAAAGGAAAAATATCAATAAATTTTATTTCATCAAAATTAAAATCTTAGGAGTTGGGAATGTAGCCAGATTGTAGAGCAGTTGTACAGCATGTCATGTGCAAGTCCCTGAATTCCATCTCTGGTACAGCAAAATAAGTTGAAAAAAAGAAAAGTTTAAATATTTGCTCTGTAAAATGCCCTGTTAAGAAAATGAAAAGACAAGTCACAGACTGGGAGAAATTATTTACAAATCACAACAAAGGATTTGTGTACAGAACATAAAAAGAACTCTCTAAGCATAACAGCAAGAAAACAAACATTGAAATTAGAAAATGCTCAGACTTGGACAGACATTTTACTAAAGGAAATATGCAAATAGGTACACAAAAATATGTTCAACCTCACTATGCCTTAGGGAAATGCAAATTAAAACCACAATGATACTACACTGAATACCTACCAGAGTGACTAAAACACAAAATACTGACAATACCAAGTGGGCTAGGATAGAGCCCTTCCCTAACATGCACAAGGCC